GTGAGCCACAATAAACCCTTCCTTCCTTAGGTGGCTTTTGTCACATATTTTGTGACAGCAATGAGAAAAGTATCCAATGTGATGACTTGGCCACCTCTGAAAGGCCGGTCTCTTAATCCTATGACAATCATGATGCTTATCAACATGAATCTCAAAGGGAACACTGGACTGTAGACACACACACACACACACACACACACACACACACACACACACACCCTGCCCCGTGTCATCCAAAGCACTGTCTCTGAGGAAGATTTGCTGTGGGCCAAGGAATCCATTACAGAGACTGAGCCAGATCTTGGAAGTGAAGGGACCCACCTAGGTTCTTGGATGCACTGGGCTGTGAGGAAGCCATGCCGGAGGCGGCTTGCTGGTGGTGAATGGAGACCTGCCTTTCTCTGTCCAGGATCTACCTTGGAGCTTACCCTCCTTGAACATCCTCCCCTAGGACTCAGGCCAGCACAAAGCCACCCACACCCAGACTCAGAACTTATGGCCGCCAGGTCTGTGACATTCTTATCCAGAGTCAGCCTTCGAATCCCAGGGGGAATCTTTAGCACCAACTGGTGCAAATGGATTTGTGACTCCACCACCGTCCTTTTAATGTGTCAGTTCCCATTTCTACCCGTGTTCAGTAAATTTAATTAGTGCTGAAATGCAGCTTATTTGGCAAGATGATCAGTTTTTAACCTGGGTAAACGACTTTCTTTATGACTGTAAATTAGGCATGTGCTCTCCTCTTCATGCATCACGGTGGTTCTCATAAATACTGGAGGCAGTTGCCGGGAGTCTCACTCCGTTACCTTTTCCATTACTGCTTTATCATCATCCCAGTAGGTGTGGGGAATTCATTCTGCTTTAATGACAAGAAGGAAGCAACAAGGGGCTTGTTTAATGAGGGAACTACCTCGTGGTCAGTGTCTCTGAAGCTGGGGTCAGATCACCGTCTATCCATGCCCATCCCTCCCTAGGCAAGCTCAGCTCCCCATAGGGCCTGCTGTTGACAGCCTTGGTGAGGGACACAGATGGGGTTTTAAAGCTTCTTTTGTCTTAACTCCACATAATTAGGAATTAAATATTTGCCAACATCTGATTTCCATGGCAGAGAGAGAACCTGAATGTTTTTGCTATCGTCCATGGTCACAAGTCGGCACGGGTGTTTTCTTAACCATGACCCCTCAGAGCAAAGCCTATAGAAAGGCACCTGCAAGCTAATCATTGTAGGCATTTGATGCACCCCACGTTGCAATGGCCCTCAGAGGTGTTTACTGCAGCCGGGCTTTTTAAAGGACGGGGTCAAATAGAGTGGGGACTCCTATCTGCATGGGTAGAGTCCAGAGATCCCTCTCCTTGGCCTTTTAGCTCTCTAGTTCCCTTAACTACAGAAGGCACCTTCATGGTTATCTCTTTCCTTCATGCCTCATCCTTCCACTTTCCTCCTGCGCCCCCTTGGGGGGGTTGGGCAAAAATGGACCCTCAGAAGTTCATTGTGTGTGGCCCACATCAACCTCCTCAAGCTAGCCCCTAACCTGGCATTGATACATTGGCACTAAATTGTTCTTAAAGAGATGCACTCTTAAAACTGTTGTGTTTCTTAAAGGCTAGTGTCCTTTGGTAACAGAAGAGCAGTGGTCCAGCACTTAACAAAGCCTCCTGAAGCCAGAGATGGGGCAGATACTCTGGGGGAAGGATTCAAAGAGGGACAGGATGTCAGTAAAAGGAAATGCACCCCCAGGAGTGGATTAGAGCTGATAGCCAGAGGGAGAGAGCAAGAGGGATCAGAAATGGCAAAGAAGCCCACTGCTGCTTCTCAGGGGCCAAAAGCTTGGCCTCCTTCTTTCAAAATGGGGCCATTAATCAGTTTCGTCTTGCTTGCACAGGGAAGTTTATTAAAACAGCCGTCCAATGGCCAGGCTTCACGTCCTCACCCTGTCTTGGGAAAGAAACAAAAGCTGATATTTTTAGAGCTCTGTTAGTTTCTTCTAGTAGCCGCCAGCACTTTGCAGGGTAGCCAGTTTCCCAACAACCCAGGAGAATCCTGCTAATCAAACACACTTTGTGGCAAAGCAGCCGCGGTTCCCGTGAGTGGGAGCCTCCAGCCCAGAGCCTCCCCCTGCTAAGAGCCGGCCTTCGGCTCTGTCCCTTTGCAGCCACCACCACTTGTCAGCCTCAGCAGGAAAGCGGCATGGGGTGGGAGTGGGGTGGGGAGCCTTTGTGGGGACATGGTGACAGTCATCCAAGCAGATGAAGGAGGTTCACACACCCCTTCACAATCTGCACTTTTACACTGCAGAGATCTGTTGACCTTCGAGTTTATTAGGATTCAAGAAAAAGTCAATATTTCTTAACTTGCCAAGGTTAGGGGAATTTAAATGAGTTATTGAAGCAAGTAGTTAATCTGCTGATAACTGATTATTTTCCCTTTCAAATCTATGAGGATGAAAAGCAGACCTTAACCCAAAACAGGATAAAAGGGGATCTTTTCTTTCCCTCCTTATGTGTTTGTTCCAGGGGGGCAGAAGCTGGGACCAAAGGCTCAGTGTTGACAACCAGGACCATTCTGTCTTCCTAAACATATGGAAAACAATTTATTTGTTTGGGGTTGTTTGGTGTTTTTGTACGTGTTCAGGAGTTTTTAAAATATTTTTATTACATGTGTATGAGTGTATTGCCTGCATGTATGTAAGTGCACCCATGTCATGCAATACACGCAGAAATCAGAAGAGGGCGTTGGATCCCCTGGAACTGGAGTTACAGATAGTTATTAGCTGCCATGTTGGTGCTGGGAATCAAATCTGGGTCCTCTGCAAGAGCAGCCAGTGCTCTTAACTGCTGAGCCATCTCTCCAGTTCTTCTTTTTGTATTTTAAAGATCTATTTTATTTTATTTATGTATGTCTGTGTGTATGTTCACATGTATGTGTAAGTTCCCACAGAGGCCAGAAGAGGGTGTCCTTGAAGCTGGAGTTACTCAAAGTGGGTGCTAGGATCTGAACTTTAGTCCTCTGACAGAGCAGTAAGCACTCTTAACCACTGATGCACCCCTCAACCCCACATTTTTATTTTTGTTTTATTGTTTTGGCTTTTTGTTTGTTGTTTGTTTGTTTGTTTGTTTGTTGAGACGTGGTTTCATGTAGCCCAGACTGGCCTCAAGCTCACTATGTAGACAGAGGCTGACTTTGAACTCCTGATCCTCCTGCCTCCACCTCCCACGTACTGAGATTACAGATGTGCACCACCAAGTCCTGAAGACGGCAGAGTTAAAACTTAAAGCAAAGAGCTCTGTAGCCACAGCATCTGCATTCCTGTTTTAGTTCTTTGGATTTTGGTTTCTCCCTCAGCCCTCCACGTGCTGTTGTCAATGCTGTGTGGTAATCCTCTGGTTTCCTGGACTCATGTGGTACAGTGAAATGGTTCCAGGGGCCTGGTGGACTTCTCTCTTATCAGTGAAATAGGCTCAGCTGTTTGCCCCCTGGGTGTGAGTGATCACTACATCCTGAGATCCTTGTGGGTGTGTTGGGCACAGAAGACACCCAAGCAATGTGGCAGCTGTCAATCCTGGGGTCTCGACCTTCTGTCCACAGATACAAGGAATATAGTGTCTTCAGGGACAAACAGCAACCTGTGGGGTTCCCCCACCCCAGCAGCTCCCTACTCCCATCCTGAGCCCTCGGAGTACCACCTCCTCTTGTGCCACACTTCCTCCCTAGATTCTACAGTGGCTCCCCAGTGCCACCATGGCATTCCTCAGCTTCTCTGCTTGGGTGTCCCAGTTTCCTGGGACTGTACCTTGCTTCCACACTGTTACTCACTTTGGGTCTCCATCCGAGATATAAAAATGCTGTTATCAGTGGGTTCTCCTGTTTCAGAGAGGCCATCTCGGCTCTGAGGCCACTTTACTTACTATATGAGAGCCCTTTCCACCTCTCTCTCTGTCTCTCTCTGTCTCTGATACACACAAACAAAAACAAAAAAACAACAAAAAAACCAAAACAGCTTCTAGCCCCGCATAGCTCTTGGCCAGGCTTTATCTCATGCCCCTTGCTCTGATTGCTCTGTCTCCAATCAAAGTGATATCTCCTCTGCATGGGTGGCATCACGTTACAGAATGATCAGGTCAGAAACGGAAAGATTCATGGCTTGTTCAATACTGGGACTCCTACGGTGCCTGGTAGTACAGCCTTGCTGTGAGTTGTCACTTAAGAAAGGGAAAGCCAGATGTGGTGACATCTGCCTGTAATCCCAGGCTTGGGAGGCAGAGGTAGAGGCAGGCCGATCTCTATGAAAACAAGACTGGTCTGGGATGGTCCACATAGCAAGCTCCAGGCCAGCTGGGGCTACAGAGAAACACGGTCTCACAAAACCAAAAAAAAAGGAAAGAAAACTGGACCTGGTGGCACATGCCCGTGATCCCAGCCCTTGGGAGGTGGAGACAAGAAAATCAGGGGTTTGAGGGCAGCCTGGGTTACATGAGTCTCTGACTCAGAAAAACTACAAATAAAAAGAGGGAATGGAAGGAAGCAGAAAGGGGTGAGGGCAGCAGCCAGTTTTATAGAGGTGGATGTTGATGGGTTCTAGTCCAGGGGGCTCTTTTGAGGCCTGGGGACAGTGGATGCCAGCTCTGTCCTTCAGCCTAAGGTGCTTCTTGGTGAGCACAGAAAGACTGGGTATTTTTTATTGGTCAACTCTCAGTAGAAAAAGTGAGCTAAAGAAAGCACAAAGGTTCCCCAAGATGCTGTCTGCGATGTTCAGGCAAATTGCAGTACAACTTGAGCTTTGCACAGGAAGATGCCCCTCTTGGCACCAATGGTTTTCTCTTGTTGGAAGGACAGAGATGATTCCATCGAGTCCCTGCAGCCCCCTGGCCACATCTTGGGTAACCTCAGCCTCACAAGAAGTTGAGGCCCCTATTGGTTGTGACCTGAAAGAGCAACAAAGAAAGTTTTCAGCTGCCCTCCAGTCCTCACAGCTGACCCTCTGTGTTTGTGTGCACCGCAGGTCTTCCCAGCCCCGGGATCCCAGTCTCCTGTGGGAAGAAGCTCTGTAGCCGTGGGAGCCGATGCGTGCTCAACAGGGAGACAGGACGGCCTGTGTGCCGCTGTCTGGAGGTGTGCAGGCCCCGCTACATGCCTGTGTGTGGCTCGGATGGGCGGCTCTACGAGAACCACTGTGAACTCCGCCGTGCAGCCTGTCTGTTGGGGAAGAGAGTTGTCAGCGTCCATAGCAAGGACTGCTTCCTCAAAGGTAGGGAGAGGGCTCCTTGCCCTGTGTTTAAGAGTTCTGTGATGGATCAGGCCAATGACCAAAGTACTCGGTGCATAGGTCAGGTACAGTGTAAGTAAAGAGGACAGGACTGGCATCTTAACCCAAGGACAGAAGGGACATTTTGAGGATAAATATTCAGTCTGTGCCCCACCTCCAGAGAGGTCAAACCAAACTCTAGCTGGGGCAGACCATGTATCCATTAGGGACCAGATAACAGAGCATGACCCAGGGTCTCCATGTAGAGTATGCCCTTCATGCCCTTGCAAGGTTGGTATTAGGGTCTGTGTCTACCCCTCTGGACAGAGCCCCATGGGTTGGGAGGTCATGTGAACATATAAATAACCCAATAGACACTACTACAAGTAGTCCCCAGCATGGCAGGGACCCAAGTTCTATTCTGAAGCAGTTGCCCATGGAAGAGATTCCATGCCTTGCCTGCCCAGAGAGGTCTGAGGAAGACCAAGAAACCTTCACGTAGGCAGCAGAACACACCTGTGGAGATGGAGGCTGAAGCACTCGCTTTGTGCTGAGGCTGGGAGGGAAGAGAAGGGTTGGATGGCAAGGGCCCCGGGCAGGGACTATTGGCTTTATGCATTGATATTTTCTCAGCACCCAGCACAGTGCTCAGTAGCGTGTAGATGCACACCAATGGAAAAGCTAGAGTGCCTGTTCCTATATCGATGGGGCCCCAGTAAATAATAGCACCGTCACCACCTGTAGAAACGTTTGTGATCATGAAGCAAAATGCCACACATGGGAGAGCTGCCATGGAGCTGGGAGAGCTTTCCTGAGGCTCTGTGAGGTCAGAGACCTGCTTGAGGTGGAACAGGGAAGGGAGGAGAAAGATCTGTATGTCTGGAGTGCTGGTCACCAAGGGTTTTGGAGCAGCATGCCCTGTAGGGAGCTGGGCTCACAGGCCATCAGACCAAATGAGACTACAACATGTGACCTAGGACACGTGCATCAGTGGGGTGGTCACAGTCAGCATGAGGAGGACAGGTGTGTGAGCCTCCGCCTCCTCTGTCCTGGGTCACCTTCGCCCATGTTACAGGCTGTTCTGACCATTCGGCTGTGACTTTGTGGGCTCTGGAAAGTTGTGCTTAACCCAGTGACAATAATAATCTCAGACACTTCCATGGTTGTGCTCATGACGCTAATGCTAAGATACTTCAGAACCATGAGGTACATTATGCAAACGAGGCTACAGTGAACTGTGAACAAATACCTGGAAACACCGCCCGGTGCGTGCTGTCCAGCACGTGCTGCCCAGTGCATGCCCACCGCTTCCCTGGCAGCGGAGCGCACTAAAACACTTGACCAGTTGCTCTAGCTTTATTGGCCGTGTTGAATTTTATAGACTGATGTTCCATTCTCTGGTTTCCAATATCCCCCAAATTGCATCTTTCTGGAGGTTTTTTATTTCTCCATCGGAGTGTGCACAGCCTCCCTTACCATCGGTTATTCAAACAGCATTTCTCATTTCACACGAGGGAAAGAACAACTGCCACAAAACCACAGTGAGGGATGACGAGGGCAGCCTCAAGCAGGGCTGGGCTCTACTTTGCACTGATTGAATTTATGCACTGCATCTTTCTAATGCAGTTTGCCACTAGTTCTGTGAACCCCACCCTTAAAACAGCTCTCTTTAAGACCCCTCTTCAAAAGAGTGATGCCTGCCATAAATCCCATAATACCGGGTTCTGGTCTGTCCCATCTGTGTGGCCCTGGGTGCCTCACTGTACTTCTCTGATCCTCTCAGTTATAACATGGGGCTAGTGGCTATCACTACCTGCTCTGGTCATGGAGGGAAGTGAGCTAGATACCCAAAGACCATGTGTCAAGACATTTGGTCCTTTGCAAGTGTTCAGGGTCTGATACATGCTGTCATTGCTTATGGTCCTCAGCTAATAGGACCACAGACTTGGAGCACAGAGGAGCCTAGACTGTGAAGGGGTCACAGATGTGGGGACAGAGGCTCTGCCTGGGAGGCTCCTGGGGAACTTTCTGAGCCCAGATGGCTTAATGGTGGAGGGAGACAAGATGCAGAAGATGCTGAGTATCAGGCTCTAGAGATGCCTACCTGGTATTAGAACTTCTCTACCCCCAGCCCTTGGACTCTGGACTCCCAGGAAAAGCCTTCGGCTCTAGCCCTTGCAAGAGGGAGGGTCCGACCACCTCTGCTCCTCTAACATTCCTCTAGGATGTGCCCAGACATAGGAGGGACCTGGGCACTAATTAGCAGGAACTCAAGGGTGTGGAAGACAGGTCAGCCCTAAGCAAGGAGCTTCCTCAGAACCATGGCTCCAACAGGAAGCCAAGGAAGCAAATGGAAGAAGCCAGATGCAAGTGCGGGGTGGGGGACTTGGAGGAAAAGAGGACACGAAGGACCACTTCCTGATGCCCCCACCTCACAGTGGCAGCTTGAGCTCCATGGATGACAAATCTGTTATTCATCCCAAATTTCTAAGGAGTTATTAACACAGGAAACTTTAAAACACTTTTTCCCCATCCAAACACAAATTCTAAAATCATCCATCTTCCATTCTCTAAGAGAGTGTAGGACTTGATTCTCTGAGAGTTTATCCGCTCCAGGAAGCCAATAGCTGGACTCTCCTTATGGGGCTGTAGAGCAAGGAGGAAAGGGGAGTGGATTATGCTGAGCCCCTATAGGGAAGGTTCTGCTGACAGCCAGCTGGGGACACAGAGCCCTTACCACACTGTATGAGAGAAGTCAGAATTCTAAGCCTCGCCTATAACTTCTGGTCTCACATCCCAGTTGCTATGGCGATAGAATTCCTCAAGACTACCAAATGAAATACAGTATCATTTAGAGATCATTAGCATGTGTGAAAATCAGACTAAACCCAAACAATGGATGACTTCTATTCAAGTTTGTGACTTCAGTCCCAAATCTCCCTGGTCAGAAGCTGGATATGTCTTGTTCAAAGTCAGGAGAGATGTGGGAAAGATGAATTTGTTTTGTGGCAAAATTACAGCTATACTTGCCCCTAATGCCAAATACCAATACTGGGTGGGATTCACTGTTTAACTTTGCACAGAGTTCGTGTTTGAAGCATTTGTGACATCGCATTCCTTCAGGCGTGGTAGTTGGCAGGTTAAAAGTGATTTTTCTGGTTCGGTCTTGAATTCATGTTCTCTTTCCTATGAGCTTGACTGCTAAGCCATCCCTCCCCACACCGGGGTTGTATTACACAGCTAATATGATGGTGTAATTGGACAGGTTTCCAAACAAACTGTGAAATTATGGAAGCAAAAGGGCTGTTACAGGGCCTCTCTGCCCTTTGGCTTCCTCAGCTTGCAGAGTGCTTGGTGTCCAAGGGCACCTTCCCAAGCTGGTGACATTTGTAGGAAAAATTAAGTACACCACACACATACTACCCTTTTAATTTTTTTTAATTTTATGTGTATGCGTGTATTGCCTGTGTATGTGTGAGTGCACCCATGTCGTACAATGCTGCAGAAGTCAGAAGGGGGCTTCAGATTCCCCTGGAACTGGAGTTAATGACGGTTTGTAGCCGCCATGTGGGTGCTGGGAATTGAACCTGGGTCTTCCGCAAGAGCAGTCAGTGCTCTTAACTGCTGAGCCATCTCTCCAGCCTCCCTTTTAAATATTTTTGAAGATTTATTTTTTAATTATGTGTGTGTGTGTCTGTTTGTGTATGGGCGTGTGAGTGCAGTGCCCAGGAAGGCCGGAAGAGGGCATTGGATCCCTTGGAGCTGGATTTAAGGTAGCTGTGAGCCACCTCACATGAGTATTGAGAACCGAACTTGTCCCCTGCAAAAATAGCAAGTGTGCTCTTAACTGCTGAGCCAGCTCTCTATCCCCTAGCTTGTTTCGTCTCAGGTATTGCTGGGCCGTTGTGAAAACTCACCATTTTGTTTGCACATAGTAAAGCAGATCTTGCTGCCTAAGAACCTTTCCCTTTGCTCCTTCTTTTCTTCTTGTTACTCTATCGTTGTTCTTGTTACTTGTATCTTTGGGCTTTCAGAACTTAAATTTGTCTCCCAGGGACATTTCTGTACTTTAACAATTTCCTCTATCCTGCCTGGGAAGTGACTCTCATCCCTGGCTGTGCCACCCACAGGAGAGGCCAGTCCCTAGGATTTGTGAGATCCCACTGCAGAGTTCTGAGCTATTGGCACTATGGAGAACTTGGTTTAATGCTTCCAGAGTAGTCCCTGTAGCAAGAAAGGGCTGGGGCTGAGGGAGCACAGGCAACCCGGGCTCTGAGAGTTATCCTTGGACAAGGCCACTGAACCCAGCCTCATCTGTAAAGTGGGAATAATACTATTTATCTCATGATGTGGAGTGTTGTAAGAGTAAAAATGAACCAATGCCTGCTCTATATGTGGTATAAAGGTCTCCATATGATGGAAAGAGAGGGGGTGATTACATCATGAGGGCTCAGGGGCTCTGACTGGATTCATCTCTTCATGGATTCATGAGTCAATAGCATTTTTGAGGTGGTGCAGAGTTGGAGGAAGCAGGTGGGGGTGTCCTTCAGGACTTGCCCCCTTGTTCCTTCCTATATTCCTTTTCTCTACTTCCTAGCGAACATAGGTGAAGACACGTTCCCTCTCTGCATTCCTCCCTACATCCCCACTACCATGATGCCCTGCCCAAATGCCTGGGACAAAGTAACCATGGGCTGAACCCTCTAGAAACATGAGCCCAAACTGAAAAAGATGTTTCTTTTTCAGTTGTTTTCTCAAACATTTTTGCTGACAGCTGCACAAAAATACAATGACAGCACTGGACATGGACCTAAAAGTGAGGGGTGGTGAATCCTCCTTCAAGTGTGAGGAGGGAAAATGGTTCATGTCTGTGTTTAAGGAATGACTACAGTTTGACCTCCAACTGATCAAAATTAACCATCATCTTCAAATGGCTCATTCTTTGAAAAGAGATGTCATGAATCACCCAGGTTTACATATGAGCTTAGCAGAGAAGCTAACAA